CCCCAAGCCTTTTCTTTCTTTCCATTTAATGCCAATGAAATTTCCTTTCTCGTGGATGTAGGTGAATTCAGTTAATGCCAAACCATGTAAATCATTTGTGTTTTATTGTTGTTGTGTGAATTTATTCGTTTTTGTATTACATTCGCATAATAATTAGTATTAGAGCTTCGACTACATGATTAGAGTGTGGTTTGGTTTAGACAAAAGCAAATTTGGCATGTGTTGCTTATGTTTGTTGCAGCAGGTGGTTTAACGTGCTTTACAGGTAAATTCATATGTTCAGTGACATACCAGCGCTTGGAGCTGAAGATTCAACACACCACTTAAAGAGAGATTTTGATTGCAAGTTTCCAGTGGGTTTGACAGCTTCACAGCAACATTCCGATGACGATCAACGATAGGCAAACGACGGTAGCCGGATCAGCGGATCTGGTGAGGTTCGGTAGAAGCTTTGCGTAGGAGCGACGTGGAACAAAAAAGAAAATAAAATTATTAAAACACGTGTGAGAAAGAAATTGGAAAAGAATAATTTTTTCCTTGTGAAACAATAATTATGATGATAAGCTTTTAGAATAATAAGATTCCAATTGTAAAGTTTTAAAAGCTTTTGTGAAGGAATTTTAGAAAAGAAAACTTTTTAAAATTTAGAAAGTTTTTAAGAAGGAAAGCTTCTATCAATGGAAAGAGAAAATAAAAGAGGAAAATTTTGTAAAGGAAAAAAAGGAACAGGAAAAAGATAAAAAGGAGAATTTTAGAAAAAAAAAACTTATTTTTTTATTTTATGAAACTTATTTATTTTTTTAGATGAACCTTTTTTTCTTATTTTGTTTTCTTTTTCATGTTTTTACTACACATTTTTTTTTCGTGAAAGATATTATAGACAACGAGAGCAGTGAATGATAGCATAATATGTGGTTTTTCTATGTCTACTATGACAATGAAAAAGTCAATTCATCAACTAGTTATGTATTTCGTCAAAATAGAGGCGATAAAATTCGATGACAAATAAAACTTTGACATGTGGCGATGCGAGATGATAGATGCATTTTGTTTTTTGAAACTGATTGAAGTATCGAATAACGAGATATGTCCCGAAGAGATGTCAATGAGAAATTGGTTAAAGAAGAACTTGTGTGCTTGTGACGTGATCTGAAACTGTTTGATTCAGGAGATTAAATATAAGGTGAGAATGGAGATTACTGCAGTAAAATTGTACGGGATGTTGGAGAACAAATATCTCACGAATGACCTAGAGAACCGTCTCCATATGAAGCATCGACTATACAATTTTCAAATAAGACGAAGGGTTACTATTGTTGGGCACTTAAATGGCTTCACAAAGAGTTGGAAGATCTGTTAAATTTGAATGAGGAGATTTGAGATGAAAAGAATACCCTCCTTTTATCGAATTTACTATCAGATGAGCACAAAAATTTCACGATGACACTCATTTATGGAAAAGATGGCTTTAATTATGACAAAGTTACTACAACACTGTTAAATCACGAGTTTCATCAAAGGGACATGGAGTCTGCAAAGATAGAGTCAATTGAGTGATCCCTCGATTATTTTTTTTTTGAAAATAATTTAATCTATATGTATATTAACATAGTTTTGATTTTGAAAATGACATTTTGATTTTTGTAAAAAATGAGACTGAACAGTTCTCATAGATTTCATAGCTTAAATAACTAAGCACGATATTACGAGTAATTATTCATCTCAAAAGATGATGATATCTCTGGTTAATATGCTCAATCATTCAAACTAAGAATTTTATGATATTTATTTGATCTGTGAAATTTTCAACTGATTATTCCCCCATCTAATATAAAAAATAAATAAAGTATAGATTATTCGAGTAACTAATTCTCCTAAAGATGCAAGCCCTCTATAGTTACATCTCAAACAACCGAGATTTTCTGGACTTGATTGACAATGACAATGTTTTTGTTGAATAAGATGGATACAAAAGATAATCTAGCGGATATGATCACGTAGGTAGTATCAGTCTATACGTTCACATGATGCAGAAGTTTGAGAGTGATTGACCAGTTGAGTATTTTGAAAAACTATGCAAGGCTGGATTTATTCCGGAATAGGGTACGTTGACAACCATCTTCAATCGAAACATCTTCAATCAAACGCAAATGGAAACGAATCTCTTCACACAAAACAAATCTTTTAATTTATAGTATTTTTACTTGCGACCAAACTATATATCCCTTCATAAAAATTATTCAAACCTGTAACTTGAAAATATCTGAACTTCAACAAATACAAAACGTCTATTTGGATACACACACACACCCATACATAAACCAGAAGACATAAAATACAAATTGTAAAATAAAACAAAGAATAAAAAAATGCAAAAAAATAAAGCCATCACCACACCCAATCTCCAAACAAAACCACATGTAAATCTCATATCAGACATCGGCAGCAAAGCAAAAAGAAGCAATCATGTTGCAGAAAAGCAGCAGGCATGCGGCCATTATTAGCTGCTTAGAAACCGAGATTGTCTTCTCTTCCTCTTTTCCATCATCGCTCTTGCTGCAAGAGGAAGAAGCTCGATCAGGCGCAGTTGTTTGGGAGTGAAGGAATGCAATGGAGATGGGTTGCTGTAGAGCATTTCTGTATTCATATTCTGCCTTCCCTATCACTTGCCTGTAGATCCCACCGCTCTT